TTTATTTAGGGGGTAGATCAGCTTTAATATTGCACATAGATTGTGGGTTCTATCAATGTAATTGTTTGCATCACACCTTGATTAACATTCTCCACAGTATTCCAATGAATAAAACAGATAAACAAGCAATACTTTGTTCCCATTTCTATTTACCCATCTACATTCCATTTGTGTCCGAGATGGAGAGAATGAGAGGAATTCTCTCATTATGGGAATTCCTCTAGAATTCCTCTCTGAATAGGAATGAGGGGGAATAGATAGATGGGACAAGAAAGAAGCAGAAATATTTGTGGTTCAGGTGTAGTTGTGCCTGAAGGGGCTGTTAAATTGGACTAGACAGAATGAATAAACTCTAAGTGAACTTTCCATACTCTACCAAGCATTCTTAATACAACCAGGAGCTTAGCAAAACATGGAGAGGCACGCATTGTTGTTTTTGGATTTCCGAGCAAAGGTTTTAGTCTATAATGACTCCAGGAGAAAAAGAGTTTAACATTGTTGACCTGTGCTACAAGGTCCCTTTTATGCCAAATAAATTCACATCAAATTCTTCAAGGTTCATGTATGCTGTCACATATCAATATATTAACTTCCATCTTCCCTTTACTGCATTAAGAGCAGGGAGTATAGCTCCACAATGGGCAACATTAAGGATCTCACTCTGATGGATGTCCCAGTCCCCCTACGTGACCGCCATACCAAATACAGTACTAGCTCCAACCCAGAGGGTGGTTGACCCTGCATTGGAAAGCCTCTGGGTATGAAGGCTTTTGCTCCAGCACTGCAGAAAAATCCTGCACACCAGTAACTCTCCAGGAGGAAGGTTGGAGGAAAGTTGTCCACCCCCTGCTAGTTAAGCTGGATAGAAACTTCCGTTGGCCTCCCCCTGTGTGGTTGTCTCCTCTCCCCCAGGCACAGCAGCTTCACAGGGCACCCAGCCAGAGGGGAGGATTAATATTCATTTCCTTTTGAATTACTCACAAATTCAATTATGCAAGATAATGCAAATACAAGGCCTTTCAAATCTGTTTTTCTTCTTCTCAGAAATCTGCCTCTTTAAATAGCATCCCCTGGAAAACTGACACAGCTGTTTCTCCTTTAGTCCCACACTTTTCTCTATGTACTTCCTGTGTGACATGGGGGCGAATGGGCCTCTCTGTGAAGTGTCTCACTAAAGGGAGGCTAGCATCTTAGGGGTATTACCAGTGCTAATGCTACATAATACAACTAATATCTGGCGCTGGCTTCTAACACAGCTCTATATCAAACATTCCACTGCCATCATCAAGGCGCGTCCCACTGAATGTACTGTTCAGATCAGTCCACTTCCCTGTGTATTACATAGACTTCTGACACTCAAGAGTGCCCTGAGGTATGTTTCTGACTGTCAGTCCCTCTGAAGTCAGTAGAACCTCAGCTATTTAATACATTCAAGCTAGTAGCTAGGCCTTCAGATGTGGTGTGCTTGCAGTCAATCAGAAACATCTCCAAAACATGGCAGGGTAAATTAAACAGACAGCGGAAAATGGAGGAGAGAGGACAGCGTTGAGAAGGGATCAACAGAGAGAAAGCTTACAGAGAGACAGACATTGATTGAGAAATGGAGACAGAGGGAAACAAATAGCATAAGCAAAGAAAAATAATAATCACTGAATAGAGAGAGAGAGAGAGAGAGAGAGAGAGAGAAAGAGAGAGAGAGAGAGAGAGAAAGAGACTACTTAGACTGCAGTGTGCACTCTCTGGTCTTTGTGTGTTATTGTTCAGTACATGAGGCTTTATGTCTAACATTATTCCATGTTCCCACACATACTCTCACTGAAGTTACATCTAGGGGATTGTATTCTATAAATCACATTCATATTCACACATCACATTATAACTTTAAGAATGATAAAGTCTCTCACCTCCCTAAAGACCCTATCCACACGCTTAACCTCTGTTCAGAGAGACGAGTGTCAGGATCAACTGGGATTATATCAGAGAGGAATGGAACTCAGGTTGTTTTCCACCGCATTGAATACAAAGTCTGTGTATTTAACATGTATGTAGTGGTCTGAATGTACAGGTATGTAAGTGTTCCCTGTTTTACCATGCATTGAAACTATGTGTGTTCAATCCCACAGGCAATCTGCTGTGGCTGAACCAAGACACTCCATTGGTCAGTTAGAGCATGGGTTGTCCATCTCACATCAACACTCCCCTGTAGCTCAGTTGGTAGAGCATGGTGTTTGCAATGTCAGCGTTGTGGATTCCATTCCCACGGGGGGCCAGTATGAAAATGTATGCACTCACTAACTGTAAGTCGCTCTGGATAAGAGCGTCTGCTAAATGACTAAAATGTAAATGCAAATACATGCATGCAAACGCACATCCTTCTTCTCCTTCCCACTGACTCACCTCTGAGGTGGGAAATAGAAAAGTAGAAACAACCCCAGCCCTGCTCCCTAGCCCTCAAATACTCATCTGGCTGGCCTGAAGACATGAAAGCCATCCATTACAGTGCAAGTCACAGACACTCAGGAATACAGATGGGCTAGTGGCTCTTTCTGCTGTGCCAGTCAATGATTTAAGGTGAAAGATTAAAGAGTCCCCAAGTGTTTGTGCATTGATGGTGGTCAGGTGAAAGTGTATATTTTCCACTGGTTCCCAGAGTGTATACTTCTGTGTGGGTGTATGTCTTCTTCATTTGGTGTTTTGGCCTGCGGGAGAAAAGGCAGGTAGCACCACTGATGAGGAGGGTCCTGCGTGCATATGTGTGTGTGAAGGCGCGAATGAGAAACTCACTGAGCAATACTTCCAGTGTGAGATCAATTCTAGAGGGTGTTTCGCCACCTGTTCACCAGTATATTGAGGCACATATGGTCAGTGCTTTAGTGCTCACGCCACCTGGTGGCCATTCAGGCCAATTGAAAACCACACAGAGAGAGAGTGAGAGATTGAGATGAACAGAGAAAGATGGGCAGATTGGGAGAGACTGAGAGATCGGCTGATTGACAGGAGAGAGGAGGATTATATTATTTTATTCTCTCTGCCCCTCACTTCTCCATCCTTCTCCCAGCAGGATCTCCATGCTCATTGACAGAATTAACATCAACCCAGTTAGCCTCTGGATAATACCAGAGACAGAAGAGGAAGCGAGACATCTCACTCGCTCCTTTTTTTCTGGTTCATATACAGTCACTGAACTAACCAGACCAGACCCAGCTGCAATCACATTGCTGTCTATGGTAAACAGCCTGAGTAAGACATCTTAATTTATCTTTGGTAATACTACCTCTCCACTCCATTCATATTCATCCACATTTTCTACACTTATTAACTAAGAAAGTATCCAGCATCCATCACTTCTGATATTGATGACATTCAATAGATAGAGCTCTCTCTTGCCTGCCTGGAATTCAAACACAATAATGAGCTATGAAAAAAAGAGAACACTTGGAACTCCTATCTACCCCTTCCATTCAAATACTGTCGCCATCTTGACATTGCACTGCAACCATGATCTCACATTGACCTCGTACATTATGTCAAGGTAGTTGTGCTGTATGGTTACATTTTCACAGCTTATGTTGCCATGTCTTGTCAGGTTCAGACATAATCATGTGTATTTGTCTCCCAGATATTGACACCACTGTCAGGTTACCAGATATTCAAATAATTCCCCAAAGGCTTCCTTTAGCATTTTGTTGGTTTAAGAGAAAGGGGTATTAACACATACAAGCATATTTGTCTCTATTAAACAGCTGCCAGTCAAACAGAATGACTGTCTGCGAACTGTCAATATGTGGTGCTTTGTTAAGTACTTGTTTCTATTGTGCAACTCAACACTCGGCCTGTGTACAGTCTAAGTCCTCTCTGTGAGTCTGTCAGGGTGAATGAACAGAGAGAGAAGGGGGGCGAGTGAGGAGAAGAGAAGCATCACACACTCTCAGAAAGCACTGAGTCATGGCCTCATAGGGGTGAGAAAATAAGGATAAACAAGATAGAATACAGTCATGCATACACGGTCTCTTCTTCACGCGAATACCAATATCAAGTTCTGCTACATATAAAGTGTTTGCCTCCTGAGGCTAAGCACATCAGTATGGTAATAGCAGAATGAATACACAAGTACTTCTCAAACAATACAAGACATGAGAAAGATACAGTGGTATACTGAAAGTAGCAACTTTTTATTTGAGTTACAATTATTTACATGTAACCAAAGACAATGTCCTCGAAACCGGTACAAACATTTTTTTTGTCCTGCAGTTGTCTTTTTTATACATTTTTTTGTTTTTACTTCAAATGACAACTCAGAAATGTTGTATAAAATAGAAATATCAGCTTCAGAAAAGTAGTCTAGCATTCTAACATCCATTAACCACTATTTACAGATGTTTTTATTTACATTCTGAAATTCCATTCACGACCAGATTTGCAAATCAACTCACATGAAACATGTCTGTTCAACTGCAGCTCTACAAATCAGAGGGAAATGAAAAGAAACGGCTATCGGTATAGCTGTCATTTAATCAGTATCTTATTGAAGCACAGGACTAGTTATAGTGTAGCTGAAAGGATGTTTAGGGGATTCACCGCTCAGAGTAGGAAGGTCATGTCCAACTTGATGATGTAAGACACAAGGGCGAGTAAAGAAACACTACAGCCTGTCCAGAGGCAACCACCACCACAAGCACTTGTGTAGAGCCGGAAGGATAGGTATAAGCAATATGGTAGCAACTTCTCTTTTCCCTGATAGGCTAGGTAGAATTTTCACAATTTTCCTATCCAGTCCTCTCAGACCTGCAAAAGTGCCTAGGGGGTTGGGGCTAGGACAGGGGTCACCAACACAGGGTACTAGGTGTGCCAGTTTTCGATCCAGCCTTGCAGTAACAATTGATTAGATTTGACATTTATTAGATTTTAGTCAGGTGTGTTATTGCAGGGCTGGATGGACCCTGCAGCTCTCCAGGACCAGAGGTAAACCCTGGGCTATGGGTTTGTTCTGGATAGGCACTACTTGAAGTGGTTAGATACAATGCCCACAGAACAATGTTACAATATAATAGGCAAGGAACAATCCTTTTCAATGAGGATTATGCCAGTTGGCTGAGGTTTGGTTATTATTAATGTCAGGCCGGTTTACCAGGGACTCGGAGTCTAATGAAAACCATATATACAGCAGTTATTATACCCAGCCACTTCAAGTGACATGTTCGGTGGAACATGTAAAAGGTAAGGAAGTGCACAGAGACTTGAAACATCTTACACAGTATCAGATCAGGATCATTAATGGTAAAATAAATACATAAAAACCACAATCATTAAAAACGTCTGAACTGCTCATTTAAAACAAACAAAACTCAATTTCTTTACTGTAAAGTCAAATTGGGAAGGGCAGGAAGGAAAACAATTTTAAAAAAGCATTCAAGTGCCATTATTTAAAAACAAAGATTTAAATAACATTAAGTCATCCAGACCTGCTGATCTCTTTTAAATCAATTTAGAATTATGTTAAATTACATGCCATTGTAAGAACTTAAACAAGCATGATGCACTGAAGAAGAAAAAAAGATTTCAACAGAGGTGAATTTCAACTTGACAGTAAGCTTATACAGATAATGGACATATTTAGAGCTGAAACTTAGCTTAGAGAACTAGAGGGGCTTTTTACATTGACCTTCCCTTTTCTACAACCATCAGAGGCAAACATTTAAATGGATACACTGATCTTTTGCATTCAACCATTCCACACAACTTAACAGACATTGTTGACACATCCATGAGTGCTATTTTCAAGCTAACCAATGATTACATTCTTGATTCAATTCAAATAAAAAAAACTCACTCCACATGCCAGCATTCTCAAGCTGTCCTCTGCGACTAGGAATCTCACCAGTAGTTGGATGGTGTGTGAAGATTTAAACAGCATTGATTCAAATCAATGGTACATGTTAACATGGCTTTGGTTCAGAAAGTGCTGAGTTTGTGTGTGTCTTGCTCTTCAGAATGAGGATGCAGGTTGAAGCGTTGCCGGGGAACACTGTTGACCTCTGGTGGATTCTCTGTACAGCCCCTCCTGCTGGGGTTGCCAGATTTGGCAGGACCCTTATGTGCAGTCAGAGTACAAGGAAGGGTTAGCTAACAGTGCTCCAGGTAGTCTATGACACGAGAAATGGACTTATGCCCTGTGGTTCCAAATGCACACTGTTGAAAAAGAGAGAGGGTAGAACGCAAGTCAGCTTGTATTGTGTTTGTGTGTCTGTTTTGTTTTTTTGAAGTAAAGGGAGAAAAAGGGAGATGCTAGGCCATTATCAAAGACATTGCCCACTTACAGTGAGGTTCATGAAATTCAAGAACTTCTTCAGCATTTCCGTCATGATGGAGAAATCTCCCTTGGGTAGGTTTTCCCGCACATTAGTCACATTAACCTGAGGAGAGATAAGCAAATACATATAATTTAAATACACATCAAGTGGCAATCTGCAACATTCTCCTCTCGCAAAAATACGTGCAACCAGCTACAAAACCTGAGCAATAACAAGTTTGGTATTTCCGGCTCACCTTTAAGTGCGTCTGCACAGCTCTTGGTCAACTCTGCACCGATATAAGTGGAGCAGAAAGTCAGTGTCACGATGTGGTGTTTAGGGGAGTAGGATACTAGCTTTTCCCACAGATCCACATATTTCCATTTAGCAATAGGCTACAACGAGACACTTAAGCTTCTAACTAGTTTATTTTTTATATACCTAAAATAAAGGTGGTTTTAATGCAATCTGAATTTGTATTGTTTCATTATGTTTTGTTTAATAGCTAACTATTAACACAAGTGAATTCTGATGCAGCATTATGCATGGCTGGGTATAATAACTGCTGTATATACGGATCAGGTTATCTTTTTTTGGGAGGGGAATGGGGCAGTCCCACTCCTCTTGTACTTTTTTATTTTTTTGTTCATTGGATAGGACAGAGGTCTAGAGGAAAGATGGAGAGAGTTGCTGAAATAAAAGTGGGGCAGATTCGAACATGCTGCAGCGGTATGTGTGTTCTGGAGGCAGCTTCTTAGACCGCAGCTAGACCTCGATAGGCCACGATCAGGTTCTCTTTTATTCACCATGAACAAAGTACAGCACTGCAGCTGCCTTACCTTTTCACTTATTTGTTCATATGTATACATTATTTATTTTGTAACTAATATTGTAATAGCCTTTGACAAGCTTCAACTGTACGCACACGTGTGCCTCTCCAATCATCCGCTGCACACTGAACGCATATTGATCTTGTAGTGAAATCTATTGAGATTTCTTAAAATATCCCACCTATTTACTTCTGCAGAGGCATGCCCTCCGCTATTTCACTTCCTAATATTTTGCAATATCTACCATCAAGACAGAAGAATGGCACTGGTTTGCAGTAGCCTATACTTCAATCCTGCAAGCTCATCAATCAAGCCCTTAATTGATTCATTGAATCAGGTGTGTTAGTGCTGAGATGGAACAAAAGCCTGCACCCCCAGTGCCAGGATCGAGGAACAGGATTGTAGCTAGTTTGCTGGAAGCTTACCTGACTGCCCTGACACAGACAGCCCAGGAGCAGAGCTGTGTAGGAGGCCACGATGCTGTCCTCCATGTGCTTCCCAGCATGCTGTAGAGCTACAACACCACAGAGAGTGAGAACAACACTCAACACTCAACATGGAGCAATGATACTATTGAAAACTACTTTAGCAAAAATAGGATTTTGCACACAGAGACACATCTTTACCTTTGTTGAGGTCCAGCTCCTCCTCTTCCTCCTCTTTCTTTGTGTCCTTCTCCTTGTCATTTTCACTGTCGTTGGTTTCCGTGGCGACCCACTGGATCTCGCCCGACGTCTCCTGCCACTCCCCGCTCTGGTCCAGGGGCTTGGGCGCCTCGCTGATGAGGTCATCAGTCTGTGCCTCGGCCAATATGGCCGCTCGCTCCCGCTCCAGGAAGAACTGTGGAAGGAGGAAAAGACAGACAGACACAAAATCACAAGAGTAACTTAATTGTCTGTGTTATTCTGCCTAATTTCTCTATAAGTTTCCTTTAAAGTTATTCTGAAGTGGTGATGTAGTTATAACAGAGCTCTTACCTGCACCAGAGCACCCAGGGCACCTGAAGAGGGACCCTTGGTCCTTTCCTCAGCACCCTCTGCCTCACCCTCCGTAGGGACTGCTGTAGGTGGCTCTGCCCCGTTCTCGGTCTCTGTGGAAGCTGGGACTGGTTCAGGGGTCTGGGTCTCGTCTCCCCCTGCCGCTCCCTGGCTGCATTCAGGGCTGGTTGTGTTGAACTCCATATCCACCAGACCGTGGCGGTTCCTTGCACTGTACTCCACCAGGTTAATCAGCAGCCCCAAGCCCTGTACCAGCACACACACAGGAGGAGAGAGGAGAGATGCTGTTAATAAAGCTCAAGGACATACACTTCATTAAGATCCATAATAAAATATTGTGAGTACAAACATGAAATTACTACATTGAAGCTTCGGTTTTAATAACTACCTAGTCATTCATTAACCTGTGGGCACTTCAAATAAAGTGGGTAAAAGGACCCACATTTTTCAGAGATCATACAGGTAATTGGATTTGTGTAAACATTTACATACAGACCTACAACACACACACACACACACACACACTGGTGCGCTCACCAGGACTCTGATGTCAAAGCGTTGTTCCTGAGGTATGTAGCGTGGGACCCGTAGGACGCAGTTGAGTGCAGTGATGATAAGCTGGTCCTGCTCTCCAGTCTTAGTGCTTCCCCACTCTAAAAACCACAGTACAGTCCAGAGTTACCACACTCCCTCCACTCTGCAGTAGTCAGCTGTGGCCTGAGACCAGTCAGGCTTAAGTACTACAGCCCTAACACACCAGAAGGTGTGGGTTATGGGGACTCTAGCACAGCTGTAATGAGGTCAGTGGGACAACAAAGAGCAGAGAGCACAAGGCACTTGCTAGGGAACGCAATACGCTAGCTACAATGTCGCCGAATGTAGAAGTCGTGTTGATGCAGTGATATTACCATTGTCGTGGGTGAGGTTGAGCAGCACCCCTATGACGGCCCTCATGCAGTCCTCCACGGCCTTGCCCACGTTGCTAAAGCTGCAGTGGGGCAGTGCCGTGCCTGACGAACACAGTGAGCTGTTCACCTCCCGGCTGTAGCGCTGGATCATGTCCACACAGTACCGCAAACCGCTGAGAGAGAGAGAAGGAGGAGGGAGGAGAGAGAAATGAGATTAGATCATACAAATTAGATGGATGAGACTTCCCCAGCCACCTGACAGTGTCAAAGCCTCTTTGGTAGTGCGTACGGCCCAGTACATCACTGGGGCAAAGCTTCCTGCCATCCAGGACCTCTATACCAGGCGGTGTCAGAGGAAGGCCCTCAAAATTGTCAAAGACTCCAGCCACCCTAGTCATAGACTGTTCTCTCTGCTACCGCACGGCAAGCGGTACCGGAGTGCCAAGTCTAGGTCCAAAAGACTTCTCAACAGCTTCTACCCCCAAGCCATAAGACTCCTGAACAGCTAATCATGGCTACCCGGACTATTTGCACTGCCCCCCCACCCCATCCTTTTTACGCTGCTGCTACTCTGTTAAGTATTTATGCATAGTCACTTTAACTCTACCCACATGTACATATTACCTCAACTACCTCAACTAGCCGGTGCCCCCGCACATTGACTCTGCAACGGTACCCCCCTGTATATATAGCCTCCCTACTGTCACTTTATTTTACTTCTGCCCTTTTTTTTCTCAACACTTTTTTTGTTGTTGTTTTTTGTTTAAAATAAATGCACTGTTGGTTAAGGGCTGTAAGTAAGCATTTCACTGTAATGTCTGCACCTGTTGTATTCGGCGCATGTGACCAATAAAATTTGATTTGATTTGATTTGAGTCCCGGGAAAACTGAGGGCACAGAGATTTAACCCGGAGTCCTATACAGGACATGACTCTACTAGTATACTAGAGTGGGGACTGGACAAAGGGAGTAGAGGTGGAGTGAAAGATCAGGGCTCTGTCACCATCTAAAGAGGGTGCCAAAAGATTAGCATGTGTTCCAGTCTCTCTCACCTGGCAGAGGACACTATTAGCTGAGAGTCCTTGTAGGCGATCAGGTAGCCCTGGTTCTCTGGGTTCTGGACAGTCACCTGCAATGGAAGGACAGGAAGACAGACGGGAGTGAAAAATTACATTGATATTGAAATGCCTTTTAAATTGTCAAATAAAAGCTGGTCAGATGAGGTTGAGATTGAAGAGTCTATTTACTTTCCCATGTTGTATTCAATTAATGGATTTAAAACATCTGAGCCTGCTAACACTCCTTAATGTTGTACTTACACTCTCTAGTACTCTTAGACACCTCTCTGCCCCCCACAGCGACGACACCAGCTTCTCCTTGTCATCTTCTTGGCTCAGGTTCTGGACACATTCTTTTACTGCAGGAGACACACACAATAATTATATATATATATATATATATATATATATATATATATATATATATATATATATATATATATATATATATATATATATATATATATACAGTGAGGGAAAAAAGTATTTGATCCCCTGCTGATTTTGTACGTTTGCCCACTGACAAAGACATGATCAGTCTATAATTGTAATGGTAGGTTTATTTGAACAGTGAGAGACAGAATAACAACAAAAAAATCCAGAAAAACGCATTTCAAAAATGTTATAAATTGATTTGCATTTTAATGAGGGAAATAAGAATTTGACCCATCTGCAAAACATGACTTAGTACTTGGTGGCAAAACCCTTGTTGGCAATCACAGAGGTCAGACGTTTCTTGTAGTTGGCCACCAGGTTTGCACACATCTCAGGAGGGATTTTGTCCCACTCCTCTTTGCAGATCTTCTCCAAGTCATTAAGGTTTCGAGGCTGACGTTTGGCAACTCGAACCTTCAGCTCCCTCCACAGATTTTCTATGGGATTACGGTCTGGAGACTGGCTAGGCCACTCCAGGACCTTAATGTGCTTCTTCTTGAGCCACTCCTTTGTTGCCTTGGCCGTGTGTTTTGGGTAATTGTCATGCTGGAATACCCATCCACGACCCATTTTCAATGCCCTGGCTGAGAGAAGGAGGTTCTCACCCATGATTTGACGGTACATGGCCCCGTCCATCGTCCCTTTGATGCGGTGAATTTGTCCTGTCCCCTTAGCAGAAAAACACCCCCAAAGCATAATGTTTCCACCTCCATGTTTGATGGTGGGGATGGTGTTCTTGGGGTCATAGGCAGCATTCCTCCTCCTCCAAACACGACGAGTTGAGTTGATGCCAAAGAGCTCCATTTTGGTCTCATCTGACCACAACACTCCTCTGAATCATTCAGATGTTCATTGGCAAACTTCAGACGGGCATGTATATGTGCTTTCTTGAGCAGGGGGACCTTGCGGGGGCTGCAGGATTTCAGTCCTTCACGGCGTAGTGTGTTACCAATTGTTTTCTTGGTGACTATGGTCCCAGCTGCCCTGAGATCATTGACAAGATCCTCCCGTGTAGTTCTGGGCTGATTCCTCACCGTTCTCATGATCATTGCAACTCCACGAGGTGAGATCTTGCATGGAGCCCCAGGCCGAGGGAGATTGACAGTTCTTTTGTGTTTCTTCCATTTGCGAATAATCGCACCAACTGTTGTCACCTTCTCACCAAGCTGCTTGGCGATGGTCTTGTAGCCCATTCCAGCCTTGTGTAGGTCTACAATCTTGTCCCTGACATCCTTGGAGAGCTCTTTGGTCTTTGCCATGGTGGAGAGTTTGGAATCTGATTGATTGATTGATTCTGTGGACAGGTGTCTTTTATACAGGTAACAAGCTGAAATTAGGAGCACTCCCTTTAAAAGTGTGCTCCTAATCTCAGCTCGTTACCTGTGTAAAAGACACCTGGGAGCCAGAAATCCTTCTGATTGAGAGGGGGTCAAATACTTATTTCCCTCATTCAAATGCAAATCAATTTATAACATTTTTGACATGCGTTTTTCTGGATTTTTGTTGTTGTTATTCTGTCTCTCACTGTTCAAATAAACCTACCATTAAAATTATAGACTGATCATGTCTTTGTCAGTGGGCAAACGTACAAATTCAGTAGGGGATCAAATCGTTTTTTTCCCCTCAGTATTGGATACACTGCCGATTTTGCAGGTTTTCCTACTTACAAAGCATGTAGATGTCTGTAATTTTTATCATAGGTACACTTCAACTGTGAGAGACGGAATCTAAAACAAAAATCCAGAAAATCACATTGTATGATTTTTAAGTAATTAATTTGCATTTTATTGCATGACATAAGTATTTGATCACCTACCAACCAGTAAGAGTTCCGGCTCTCACAGACCTGTTAGTTTTTCTTTAAGAAGCCCTCCTGTTCTCCACTCATTACCTGTATTAACTGCACCTGTTTGAACTCGTTACCTGTATAAAAGACACCTGTCCACACACTCAATCAAACAGACTCCAACCTCTCCACAATGGCCAAGACCAGAGAGCTGTGTAAGGACATCAGGGATAAAATTGTAGACCTGCACAAGGCTGGGATGGGCTACAGGTCAATAGGCAAGCAGCTTGGTGAGAAGGCATCAACTGTTGGCGCAATTATTAGAAAATGGAAGAAGTTCAAGATGACGGTCAATCACCCTCGGTCTGGGGCTCCATGCAAGATCTCACCTCGTGGGGCATCAATGATCATGAGGAAGGTGAGGGATCAGCCCAGAACTACACGGCAGGACCTGGTCAATGACCTGAAGAGAGCTGGGACCACAGTCTCAAAGAAAACCATTAGTAACACACTACGCCGTCATGGATTAAAATCCTGCAGCGCACGCAAGGTCCCCCTGCTCAAGCCAGTGCATGTCCAGGCCCGTCTGAAGTTTGCCAATGACCATCTGGATGATCCAGAGGAGGAATGGGAGAAGGTCATGTGGTCTGATGAGACAAAAATAGAGCTTTTTGGTCTAAACTCCACTCGCCGTGTTTGGAGGAAGAAGAAGGATGAGTACAACCCCAAGAACACCATCCCAACCGTGAAGCATGGAGGCGGAAACATCATTCTTTGGGGATGCTTTTCTGCAAAGGGGACAGGACGACTGCACCGTATTGAGGGGAGGATGGATGGGGCCATGTATCGCGAGATCTTGGCAAACAACCTCCTTCCCTCAGTAAGACCATTGAAGGTGGGTCATGGCTGGGTCTTCCAGCATGACAACGACCCGAAACACACAGCCAGGGCAACTAAGGAGTGGCTCCGTAAGAAGCATCTCAAGGTCCTGGAGTGGCCTAGCCAGTCTCCAGACCTGAACCCAATAGAAAATCTTTGGAGGGAGCTGAAAGTCTGTATTGCCCAGCGACAGCCCCGAAACCTGAAGGATCTGGAGAAGGTCTGTATGGAGGAGTGGGCCAAAATCCCTGCTGCAGTGTGTGCAAACCTGGTCAAGACCTACAGGAAACGTATGATCTCTGTAATTGCAAACGAAGGTTTCTGTACCAAATATTAAGTTCTGCTTTTCTGATGTATCAAATACTTATGTCATACAATAAAATGCAAATTAATTACTTAAAAATCATACAATGTGATTTTCTGGATAAAATTTACAGACATCTACATGCTTTGTAAGTAGGAAAACCTGCAAAATCGGCAGTGTATCAAATATTTGTTCTCCCCACTGTATGTATGTATGTATGTATGTATGTATGTATGTATGTATGTATGTATGTATATATATATACACATACACACACACACACACACACACACACACACACACACACACACACACACACACACACACACACACAGCTCATTCAAGGGTTTTTCTTTATTTAAACTATTTCTACATTGTAGAATAATAGTGAAGACATCAAAACTATGAAATAACACATATGGAATCATGTCGTAACCAAAAAAGTGTTAAACAAATGAAAATATATTTTATATTTGAGATTCTTCATAGTAGCCACCCTTTGCCTTGATGACAGCTTTGCACACTCTTGGCATTCTCTCAAAGAGCTTCATGAGGTAGTCACCTGGAATGCATTTCAATTAACAGGTGTGACTTCTTAAAAGTTAATGTGTGGAATTTCTTTCCTTCTTAATGCGTTTGAGAAAATCAATTGTGTTGTGACAAGGTGGGGGGGGTACACATAAGATAGCCCTATTTGGTAAAAGACCAAGTCCATATTATGGCAAGAACAGCTCAAATAAGCAAAGAGAAACAACAGTCCATCATTACTTTAAGATATGAAGGTCAGTCAATACGGAACATTTCAAGAAGTGCAGTCGCAACAAACATTAAGCGCTGTTATGAAACTGGCTCTCATGAGGACTGCAACAGGAATGGAAGACCCAGAGTTACCTCTGCTGCAGAGGATAAGTTCATTAGAGTTACCAGCCTCAGAAATTGCTGCCCAAATAAATGCTTCACAGAGTTCAAGACACAGACACATCTCAACATCAACTGTTCAGAGGGGACTGTGTGAATCAGGTCTTCGTGGTTGAATTGCTGCAAAGAAACCACTACTAAAGGACACCAATAAGAAGAAGAGACCTGCTCAGGCCAAGAAACACGAGCAATGGACATTAGACCAGTGGAAATTTGTCCTTTGGTCTGGAGTCCAAATTTGTGAGACGCGGTGTGGGTGAACGGATGATCTCCACATGTGTAGTTCCCACTGTAAAGCATGGAGGAGGAGGTGTTATGGTGTGGGGGTGCTTTTCTGGTGACACCGTCTGTGATTTATTTAGAATTCAAGGCACACTTAACCAGCATGGCTACCACAGCATTCTGCAGCGATACGCCATCCCATCTGGTTTCGGCTTAGTGGGACTATCATTTGTTTTTCAACAGGACAATGACCCAACACCTCCAGGCTGTGTAAGGGCTATTTTACCAAGGAGGATCGTGATGGAATGCTGCATCAGATGACCTGGTCTCCACAATACCCCGACCTCAACCCAATTGAGATGGTTTAGGATGAGTCGGACGGCAGAGTGAAGGAAAAGCCGGCAACAAGTGCTAAGCATATGTGGGAACTCCTTCAAGACTGTTGGAAAAGCATTCCAGGTGAAGCTGGTTAAGAGAATACCAAGACTGTGCAAAGCTGTCATCAAGGAAAAGGGTGGCTATTTGAAGAATCTGAAATATAAAATATATTTTGATTTGATTTAACACTTTTTTGGTTACTACATGATTCCATGTGTGTTATTTCATAGTTTTGATGTATTCACTATTATTCGACAATGTAGAAAACAGTAAAAATAAAGAAAAACCCTTCAATGAGTAGGTGTGTCCAAACTTTTGACTGCTACTGAGATATATACAGTGAGGGAAAAAGTATTTGATCCCCTGCTGATTTTGTACGTTTGCCCACTGACAATGAAATGATCAGTCTATAATTTTTATGGTAGGTTTATTTGAACAGTGAGAGACAGAATAACAACAACAAAAATCCAGAAAAACGCATGTCAAAAATGTTATAAATTGATTTGCATTTTAAATGAGGGAAATAAGTATTTGACCCCCTCTCAATCAGAAAGATTTCTGGCTCCCAGGTGTCTTTTATACAGGTAACGAGCTGAGATTAGGAGCACACTCTGCTCCTAATCTCATTTTGATACCTGTATAAAAGACACCTGTCCACAGAAGCAATCAATCAATCATATTCCAAACTCTCCACCATGGCCAAGACCAAAGAGCTCTCCAAGGATGTCAGGGACAAGATTGTAGACCTACACAAGGCTGGAAGACCATCGCCAAGCAGCTTGGTGAGAAGGTGACAACAGTTGGTGCGATTATTCGCAAATGGAAGAAACACAAAATAACTGTCAATCTCCCTCGGCCTGGTGCTCCATGCAATATCTCACCTCGTGGAGTTGCAATGATCATGAGAAAGGTGAGGAATCAGCCCAGAACTACACGGGAGGATCTTGTCAATGATCTCAAGGCAGCTGGGACCATAGTCACCAAGAAAACAATTGGTAACACACTACACCGTGAAGGACTGAAATCCTGCAGCGCCCACAAGGTCCCCCTGCTCAAGAAAGCACATATACAGGCCCGTCTGAAGTTTGCCAATTAACATCTGAATGATTCAGAGGACAACTGGGTGAAAGTGTTGTGGTCAGATGAGACCAAAATCGAGGTCTTTGGCATCAACTCAACTCGCCATGATTGGAGGAGGAGGAATGCTGCCAATGACCCCAAGAACACCATCCCCACCGTCAAACATGGAGGTGGAAACATTATGCTTTGGGGGTGTTTTTCTGCTAAGTGGACAGGACAACTTCACCGCATCAAAGGGACGATGGACGGGGCCATGTACCATCAAATCTTGGGTGAGAACCTCCTTCCCTCAGCCAGGGCATTGAAAATGGGTCGTGGATGGGTATTCCAGCATGACAATGACCCAAAACACACGGCCAAGGCAACAAAGGATTGGCTCAAGAAGAAGCACATTAAGGTCCTGGAGTGGCCTAGCCAGTCTCCAGACCTTAATCCCATAGAAAATCTGTGGAGGGAGCTGAAGGTTCGAGTTGCCAAACATCAGCTTCGAAACCTTAATGACTTGGAGAAGATTTGCAAAGAGGAGTGGGACAGAATCCCTCATGAGATGTGTGCAAACCTGTTGGCCAACTACAAGAAACGTCTGACCTCTGTGATTGCCAAAAAGGGTTTTGCCACCAAGTACTAAGTCATGTTTTGCAGAGGGGTCAAATACTTATTTCCCTCATTAAAATGCAAATCAATTTATAACATTTTTGACATGCGTTTTTCTGGATTTTTGTTTTGTTATTCTGTCTCTCACTGTTCAAATAAACCTACCGTTAAAATTATAGACTGATCATGTCTTTGTCAGTGGGCAAACGTACAAAATCAGCAGGGGATCAAATACTATTTTCCCTCACTGTATATATATATATATATATATATATATATATATACACACATATAAACAGTGGGGGAAAAAAGTATTTAGTCAGCCACCAATTGTGCAAGTTCTCCCACTTAAAAAGATGAGAGAGGCCTGTAATTTTCATCATAGGTACACATCAACTATGACAGACAAATTGAGAAAACAAAATCCAGAAGATCACATTGTAGGATTTTTTATGAATTTATTTGCAAATTATGGTGGAAAATAAGTATTTGGTCACCTACAAACAAGCAAGATTTCTGGCTCTCACAGACCTGTAACTTCTTCTTTAAGAGGCTCCTCTGTCCTCCACTCGTTACCTGTATTAATGGCACCTGTTTGAACTTGTTATCAGTATAAAAGACACCTGTCCACAACCTCAAACAGTCACACTCCAAACTCCACTATGGCCAAGACCAAAGAGCTGTCAAAGGACACCAGAAACAAAATTGTAGACCTGCACCAGGCTGGGAAGACTGAATCTGTAATAGGTAAGCAGCTTGGTTTGAAGAAATCAACTGTGGGAGCAATTATTAGGAAATGGAAGACATACAAGACCACTGATAATCTCCTTCGATCTGGGGCTCTACGCAAGATCTCACCCCGTGGGGTCAAAATGATCACAAGAACGAAGAGCAAAAATCCCAGAACAAGAACGAAGAGCAAAAATCCCAGAACCACACGGGGGGACCCTAGTGAATGACCTGCAGAGAGTTGGGACCAAAGTAACAAAGCCTACCATCAGTAACACACTACGCCGCCAGGGACTCAAATCCTGCAGTGCCAGACGTGTCCCCCTGCTTAAGCCAGTACATGTCCAGGCCCGTCTGAAGTTTGCTAGAGTGCATTTGGATTATCCAGAAGAGGATTGGGAGAATGTCATATGGTCAGATGAAACCAAAATAGAACTTTTTGGTAAAAACTCAACTCGTCGTGTTTGGAGGACAAAGAATGCTGAGTTGCATCCAAAGAACACCATACCTACTGTGAAGCATGGGGGTGGAAACATTATGCTTTGGGGCTGTTTTTCTGCAAAGGGACCAGGACGACTGATCCGTGTAAAGGAAAGAATGAATGGGGCCATGTATCGTGAGATTTTGAGTGAAAACCTCCTTCAATCAACAAGGGCATTGAAGATGAAACGTGGCTGGGTCTTTCAGCATGACAATGATCCCAAACACACCGCCCGGGCAACGAAGGAGTGGCTTCGTAAGAAGCATTTCAAGGTCCTGGAGTGGTCTAGCCAGTCTCCAGATCTCAACCCCATAGAAAATCTTTGGAGGGAGTTGAAAGTCTGTGTTGCCCAGCAACAGCCCCAAAACATCACTGCTCTAGAGGAGATCTGCATGGAGGAATGGGCCAAAATACCAGCAACAGTGTGTGAAAACCTTGTGAAGACTTACAGAAAACGTTTGACCTGTGTCATTGCCAACAAAGGGTATATAACAAAGTATTGAGAAACTTTGTTATTGACCAAATACTTATTTTCCACCATAATTTGCAAATAAATTCATTAAAAATCCTACAATGTGATTTTCTGGATTTTTTTTTCTCATTTTGTCTGTCATAGTTGACGTGTACCTATGATGAAAATTACAGGCCTCTCTCATCTTTTTAAGTGGGAGAACTTACACAATTGGTGGCTGACTAAATACTTTTTTTCCCCACTGTGTGTGTGTGTGTATATATATATATATATATATATATATATATATATATATATATATATATATATATATGTTTTGCCAATGACTATAGTGTAACAAAGTGAGTTGACCTTGATAAGATGCAACTGTCAAATATAGGAACAAGGACAACTAGAAAAAGTCTGCTTCTGGCGCAGAAAGGTGCTCCGACAGTTCAACACAACATGCACGCACACAAACACCCACCTTTGTCTACAATGTGGTCCAGGCCTCCCAGTAAGCGCAGCTCCTCTTTGAACCAGTCACCGGCTCTCTTTGAGGTCAGAGACAACAGGGTCTCCATGGCCAAGTGACACGACTGCAAAACAAACAAAATAAAGTGCTATAGAACTCCAACCCACAATCACCATCATTATAAATATTATAATTATTAAACATGATCATTATTCTGATTGTCCCTGCATACCGTGATGTTCTCCAGGTCCAGGTGCTTGTTGTGGACTGTCTCACACAGCTTGCGGATCTTCTCCTTGACCTTGGTCATCTCCTTGGCAGTGAGCTGGTCCTGGTGGTGGCCCGAGTGGTCGTGCTCCAGCTCCAACAGTCTGATCATCAGCTCCAGACTGGCCCGGTCCAGGTCCATGTTCAACCTGTCTCTGCTTAGGATGTACATCAGAGAGGCCGTACACAGAGCCAGGTTCTGGAGACGAGTGAAGGGAGAGCGGGATGGGCAACAATGAGTTCAGAAGCAACTGGTGGCAGGGGAAGTCCTTGAATCTTGTCCTTGTATATTCAAATAGCGAACTTTGAAGTATCTACAGGACAAATAGTAGGTCATGCTACCACCACAAATAAGCAGAGGGAGGTTAATTGAAACACACTGGAGCCCTTTATTTTGGGTCAGTTACTGTTATTAGTTTGGGTCAGTTGTGGTTGTAGATTTGAACAGATTCCTACCGGATGCTGCGGGGCATCATTCAACATCTTGAAGACCTGAGCCACCTTCCCTCTGGCCCGTAGGTGCATCCGGAAACTGGGCATTGCACACCTTGCGGCTAGACTGATTATACTAGACAGTGAGCAAGAGGGGGAGGATGTTTCAAGAAGTTCAGAGGAGAAGGGTACATAGAAGATTGAGTGGACAAGTATAAATAATACTAAATCTGTCCATGTCTTCTAGACTTGAGCATATAGCTGGAAATGTATTGAAGGTGGGATGTTAAATCAGGTAAGATCCTTTCCCAAGGTGGACAATATTGAGTGGGTTTGTCTTACCTAAGGCATCGTGTGTTGAGTGGCTGGCTGCTCTTTAGACCGGTCTCCAGGTACTCAAAGTCATCAGTAAACTCCTGGTTCTCACCAAACTCTACCACATCGTTGAAGTGCTTCACATTATGCACAACCGTGTACAGCTGCAAGTGGGAGAGATAATGAGACGATGAGCGACATTTACACAAGCAAATGGTACTGAGCATTGAGCAAAAATAACCATCAGGATTTTTTTATGCAAAGAAATGTATTGGGCAGGCCACCTATGTTGCTTCGGGCCGCCTGTATCCAAACAGTAAAACATTATACACTGCTCAAAAAAATAAAGGGAACACTTAAACAACACAATGTAACTGCAAGTCAATCACACTTCTGTGAAATCAAACTGTCCACTTAGGAAGCAACACTGATTGACAATACATTTCACATGCTGTTGTGCAAATGGAATAGACAACAGGTGGAAATTATAGGCAATTAGCATGACACCCCCAATAAAGAAGTGGTTCTGCAGGTGGTGACCACAGACCACTTCTCAGTTCCTATGCTTCCTGGCTGATGTTTTGGTCACTTTTGAATGCTGGCGGTGCTTTCACTCTAGTGGTAGCATGAGACGGAGTCTACAACCCACACAAGTGGCTCAGGTAGTGCAGCTCATCCAGGATGGCACATCAATGCGAGCTGTGGCAAGAAGGTTTGCTGTGTCTGTCAGCGTAGTGTCCAGAGCATGGAGGCGCTACCAGGAGACAGGCCAGTACATCAGGAGACGTGGAGGAGGCCGTAGGAGGGAAACAACCCAGCAGCAGGACCGCTACCTCCGCCGTTGTGCAAGGAGGAGCAGGAGGAGCACTGCCAGAGCCCTGCAAAATGACCTCCAGCAGGCCACAAATGTGCATGTGTCTGCTCAAACGGTCAGAAACAGACTCCATGAGGGTGGTATGAGGGCCCAACGTCCACTGGTGGAGGTTGTGCTTACAGCCCAACACTGTGCAGGACGTTTGGCATTTGCCAGAGAACACCAAGATTGGCAAATTCGCCACTGGCGCCCTGTGCTCTTCACAGATGAAAGCAGGTTCACACTGAGCACATGTGACAGACGTGACAGAGTCTGGAGACGCCGTGGAGAACGTTCTGCTGCCTGCAACATCCTCCAGCATGACCGGTTTGGCGTGGGTCAGTCATGGTGTGGGGTGGCATTTCTTTGGGGGGCCGCACAGCCCTCCATGTGCTCGCCAGAGGTAGCCTGACTGCCATTAGGTACCGAGATGAGATCCTCAGACCCCTTGTGAGACCATACGCTGGTGCGGTTGGCCCTGGGTTCCTCCTAATGCAAGACAATGCTAGACTTCATGTGGCTGGAGTGTCAGCAGTTCCTGCAAGAGGAAGGCATTGATGCTATGGACTGGCCCGCCTGTTCCCCAGACCTGAATCCAATTGAGCACATCTGGGACATCATGGCTCGCTCCATCCACCAACGCCACGTTGCACCACAGACTGTCCAGGAGTTGGCGGAAGCTTTAGTCCAGGTCTGGGAGGAGATCCCTCAGGAGACCATCCGCCACCTCATCAGGAGCATGCCCAGGCGTTGTAGGGAGGTCATACAGGCACATGGAGGCCACACACACTACTGAGCCTAATTTTGACTTGTTTTAAGGACATTACATCAAAGTTGGATCAGCCTGTAGTGTGGTTTTCCACTTTAATTTTGAGGGTGACTCAAAATCCAGACCTCCATGGGTTGATACATTTGATTTCCATTGATAATTTTTGTGTGATTTTGTTGTCAGCACATTCAACTATGTAAAGAAAAAAGTATTTAATAAGATTATTTCATTCATTCAGATCTAGGATGTGTTGTTTAAGTGTTCCCTTTATTTTTTTGAGCAGTGTATATTTTTTAAGTATAATTTCCAGGATGGAAAAATGTTGTGTAAACTTAAACTAAAACAAGATATAAAGTATGTAGAAAAGATAATGGACCTATATAACATCCTCTTTGAGAACAACAAATCACCAAAATAAAAGCTATAGTCAGTGAGAATCTAAAATTCCAAAAATGATGCATTCAGGAGTATTTTTGCCATGGCATAGGCCCCCATTGATTTTGTAATTTTGTAATAATGTTTGAGTCACTTAGATAGCATAAGTTATGGCAAAATGTTGAGAATTGCAGGAAATAGCTTTAAAACTGCTATATTTTGTCACTGCGGCCAACAGGAGGGCCTCTAAAATGTTTGGTCGGCAACCACACCATTGGCCCCCTGTCGGTGTGACAGGGGACACGTCAACCACCTAAGACCCATTTTGATCCAGAAAAAAACCTGATCATATTTAAAATAGGAGGAATATTATCCCATGCAAGTTCCAAAATGGTGCTCTGTGTATTTGTGAGTGTCCAGAAAAGGAAAGAAATGTCACACAGCATGCAAAGTGGCTCTACTCCATCAGTTCCATTAGCTGACTGGGCTAATACCCCCTCATCAAGGACACCACTGGGAGTGGAAGTGTCTGATCAGCTGTGTGTGTGTTCGCTTGCTAGCGATTGGACCATGTCTGTGTTTCCACTGCCCAACGAGATAGCTTCGGTTCAGTCCCTCTTGGCAAGGGGGATGTGCAGCTAACCGTCTGGTCAAGAGCCAGAAGGCACATCTGCTAGCTGTAGCTAGGCCTTAAAGGGGGGCTGAACTTCCGGATTCATCTTGGTCATTAAGAAATGCAGCGGTTTGATTAATACTTAGGTGATGCCAGCTGTGGGCGGGATTGAAATAAACCCAACCCAACGAAAACTGTTACGGTACCCTTCATTTCGTGACATACCATTTTTTCCAATCATCTCTCCAATCTCTGTTTAGGACGAGACTGACTTCAAAATTATCCTATTTACACTTTGTAGTCAATTTTGACAGTAAAATAAATGTTTCTGACTCATAACGATGCCACATAGGCCATTTTCAAAACGAGAAGTTGCTTTGTAGGGTCAGTCGCTCTTTAATAAAACAAGATGCTCCTTAGGCCCTGACCAGCCCATGCTGTTTTAAATTAACAAAGACAAGCTTTACACTGCGCTCCAAATGGACATTAACAGTCTAAACTGTGTCTGAAATGAATAAAGAGACTAATAAATCCATAACAGCATGCAAACAAGTAATAAAAATAGCAGATGAGCGTTTGGGGGATGTTGACAGTGAAAAGATCATGTTGACTGTCTTGAGGGCGTGAAATATCCCCCAGCATGCCCGGCCCACCTCCTTGTGTTCTTTTCTGCATTTGAGAGCCGTGACGATGTCCTGGTAAGGCTGAGTGGGGATGGTCACAGACTTGATGACTTTGGGCGGTGGGGGAGGAGCTTTGAACAGACAGTCATCTTTGTGGGAGTTGGTGTCCTTGCTGCTTCCGCTTGATATGCTGGCCTGGAGAGCCAAAAAGCAGAAAACATTTGAAAAAGTTAGACAAACAACTTTCATTCCAGGTGCCCTTATATGAATTGTTTCCTATTGGGACACGTTCCAAGTCTGGACTAAACAGAATACAGCTAATAGTGATTTAGATTTCGTCATTTAGGTGAGGCTGCTATTGGGTCAATGTAGGGCTGCACGATTAATCCCATTTTAATCAAAATTGCGATATTGACATGCGCAATATCCATATCGCAAGAGGCTGTGATATTTTGAAGGGAGTGGCGCCTAATCCGTGACCAGATCTTATATTTCTGGGGCTCCGTATCCATGAGCAGGCAAATTCTCGCAGTATTTCGTGGGAATTTGGGACCTCACTCACTTTCTCATGCCGAAACCGGATTAGATACATAGCTAATTAAATCAGAGCTAAAACGCCAAAATGATAATATTTGCAATGTCACTAAGCAAAAAACTAACCAAACAGCAATAGCCACTACAATGTCAAAACATGATTGTCATGAGTTCAGTATAATTTGCTTGATTTTGCAGACCCACGACTATGGTGTATCGTCGTTAGCTAACATTAGCATGCTAGCTAGCCAGCATTAGCTACCTAGCGAGCAAACTCTAGTCTAGTCCAATGGAAACTGATGCAACCATGTTGAGTACGTGGCTAGTTAGATGACCAGCAGTGACAGTGAGGTCCATATGAGATGCAAGGCTCTAAGAAGTGCCATTGTGCAGAAATAGCAAAGAAAATACTGTTTGATTAGCTAAATTAGCTAGCAAGGTATACCAGTTATCAAAGAGGATGCTGCTAGCTTTGCATGAATGGCAGGACCAGTGTTGTCAAAGAGGGTAGACCGTACCGTCTCTGGTGTTGTATCAACATTACAACCAGGACGGACTGTCCTATGGGACTCTAAAACGCCGGCACATACACAGACGCAGCTCTCATACAATGCAATGATATTTGATTATCTGTAGTTAATAACTGTCTGTACACATAAATTCACATAGCCATGAGCGAGCATGTTGTAAACTGTAAAGTAGCTAGCTAGATGTGTCATCATCTCCATTAGCTATACATCTTGCCATCACATAAAACAATACATACAACAAAACGTCTCAATACACAGCATATTTAGTCCACAATCTCTGACATTTGGCTCGTAGTTCTTGCACAGGAAAGTTTGCAGGGGCCTACCAGATCACAACAAACAGTAAAAAGCGAGAGGAGATTTAAAAAATGATGGTTGAAGAGAAATCAACCATATGACCACTACAAGGTGTCATCATATACCGACAGATCAAATTGATTTTAACAGTATTGACAGAGTCCACTAGCTTGCTGCACTGGTGTAAAATGTCACTATTGCATATGACTTGTATATATTAACATATCTGGGCCATTTTGGAGAACATTCATGAATCTGTTAGACACAACATACATCTATGTATTTTCTCTGTAAACTGATTTGACAACTGATTTGCATTTCTGGGGTGAGGTGGGGCTAACTAAATTAAAAACAGCAGATTGGATGGGCATGTAATTCACACAGTACTGATGAAAAATCAAGAGCATTTGATCTAAATATGGGTATGCGAGGACAACTAGTGGTCACCGGGTTTTTCATCCTTGGTCACTAGCCATCATAAATGTGTATCCCCTCCTCACAAACTTGATGTTGGGTGAGTCCCCTTTCCTATGCAAAAAAACCCAACTAGAGATTGTATGCACTAGCATGCAATGCAATGAGATATATTTGAAGCAGGTATTTACTTTGCAACATGTATTGTTATTGACTAAAACAAAATATAATTGTATGAGCTATGCATCTGTGTACCGGCGCTTTTGTACCCCTCTACTAGCTAGCTAGATGGGGCAGTCCAGTTCAAGAGGCAGTCCGTTCTGCATGCCTTCTTGACTTCTATACAATGCGTCGTCATGTATTTGTGCATGAACACTGGTAGCCTAACTGTCATAGCCATCTTTCTAGCTAATTTAGCTCATCAACCATATTTTCTTTGCTATTTCTGCACGATGGCACATATTAAAGCCTTGAATCTCATATGGACCTCACTGTCACCACTGGCCATCTAGCTAGCCACGTAGCCAGCAGGGTTGCATCGGTTTCCATTGGAGTAGAGCTTGCTGGGCTGGATAGCTAGGTAGCGAACACTAGCTAGCTAACGCGAGTTGATTATCATGTAGCAGCCTATGCTGACTAGCGTCGCTCTCTAGCTAATGTCGACACACCATAGTCATGGGTCTGCAAAATCAAGCAAATCAAATCAAATTGTATTTTCCACATGCGCCGAATACAACATGTGTAGACATTACAGTGAAACGCTTACTTACAAGCCCTTAACCAACAATGCTAAGTAAAACAAAGATAAAAAAAGTTAAGGAAAAATAAATAATGAAATAACCAAAGAGCAGCAGTAAAATAAAATAACCGTAGGGAGGCTATATACAGGGGGGTACCGGTGCAGAGTCAATGTGCGGGGGCACCGGCTAGTCGACGTAATTGAGGTAATATGTACATGTAGGTAGAGTTAGTGACTATGCATAAATAATAAACAGAGTAGCAGCAGAGTAAAAGAGGGGGACGGGGTGGGGGGGGGGGGGGGGGGCAGTGCAAATTGTCTGGGGGTAGAAGCGGTTGAGAAGCATTTTGGACCTAGACTTGGCGCTCCGGTACCGCTTGCTGTGCGGTAGCAGAGAGAACAGTCTATGACTAGGGTGGCTGGAGTCTTTGACAATGTTGAGGGCCTTCCTCTGACACTGCCTGGTATAGAGGTCCTGGATGGCAGGAAGCTTGGCCCCAGTGATGTACTGGGCCGTACGCACTACCCTCTGTAGTGCCTTGCGGTCGGAGGCTGAGCAGTTGCCATACCAAGCGGTGATGCAACCAGTCAGGATGCTCTCGATGGTGCAGCTGTATAAACTTTTTGAGGATCTGAGGACCCATGCCAAATGTTTTTAGTCTCCTGAGGGGGAATAGGCTTTGTCGTGCCCTCTTCACGACTGTCTTGGTGTTTTTGGACCATGATAGTTCGTTGGTGATGTGGACACCAAGGAACTTGAAGCTCTCAACCTGTTCCACTACAGCCCTGTCAATGAGAATGGGGGCGTGCTCAGTCCTATTATTTTTTCCTGTATTCCACAATCATCTCCTTTGTGGTACTGAACTCATGTCAAAATCAAGTTGACATTGCAATGTCTATCAATGTTTTGGTTGTTTCTTTTCTGCTTAGTGACATTGTGAATTTCATATTTTTGGAATTTAACTACCGGTATGTATCTAATCCGGTTTGGGCATGAGAAAATGAGTGTAGTTCCAAATTCCCACTAGATACTGCGAGAATTTGCGCACTCGGACACGGAGCCTCAGAAATATAAGATCCGGACATGGACTTGGAGTCACTCCCTATTTTGGAACGCCAGCTGTCTGTAAAATCCGTATTTTTTTTTTTTTTTACTTTAGATTTATTGCTTGAGTTCGCTCTCATCACTCCTCTTTTGGCCACTTCCTAATCCCATACACACTAAGCCCCACCCCCTGTCACTCAAGCAGACAGTTCCTCGTGCTCAAGATTCACTCTGCATGCATTGACCAAACAGCAGCATGCGGTCAACAGATTTTTCTAACCAAGAACAACGCAGCTTTTCACTTTGCTTCTTCTGCAAAACGGTAGTTAGTTGGTTTTAGAAAGCTGCAAATGTCCCCCAAAAATGTGTTAGCCTCTAATACTAATCGTTAGCTAACTAGCTGGCTAGCTAAATCCACTGAGAAACTTTTGCTCTAATACAGGCCAGTACCTGTGGTGCAGTATATCAGCATTGTTTGTGCAACAACTTGTTCTTAAATCAGAGAGGAAAAGGCAAAGAATATTCTAAAATCTGTCTGAATGTACCTATTTAAATCTAATTAGGGTCCCCCGGGAAACACTTACCAACACTTTGGTTCCTACTCCGTCACAACCTTAGAATTTGAATACTAGAATGGCCATGAACCTTCTTATGATGGTCTAAAGGTTATCCATTTTGGTCAGGGAGTTGGTCAACCATGGTTTTCCAGTGCCGTGAGAAGATAGTGTACAATTATGAATTTTAAGAAAGTTTCTTCACTGTATGTTTGTTAGCTAGCCAGCCAGCCAGCCTAAGAAGAATGATTACATTCATGTTTCAAATTAATTGCCAATATGCCAACATACCATTCAAACAATGCCGTCAATCCACAGCCATACACTGGCTGAAATCAGTTGATGATAAGACTTAAACAAGTTGTAAATGCAACAAGTACTGATATTGTATCATCTAATAGTACTCACAGCTTTCCAAGAAAACAAAACTTGAGACATTTATGGTCTGTTTACATATATTTTAGAGGCTATTTACACAGTAAATGTGTATAAAACATGTTTTAACTGTATTTATAATTATATGACCATATTTTAGGTTGACAATCACATGCCTTACTTTTATTTTCCTGCATAAGAAAAAAATATAGATTATGCCTCTACTGGCATTAATTCCAATTAGACTGGTTGGGATTTCTCCCTCAACTTTTAAGGGTTATGACATAGCCCCTCTAGTAATTTAATAGACCAAATCAGAATGTTTTTTAACAAAGCCGTTCTGGTAGTTCCGGCTTGCGAGCGTCAAAGCATAGGAAATCATATGCAGACCACCTGCCGGACTAGCTAGATTATCTAATGAATATAGTCAGTTTTCTAACATTTATATAAAATCATAAACACTACTCTTGTTATCAAGTGTTCATTTTTGTAGTTGGTCAGCTAGATACCTTGATTGCTTCGTTCATGGAGGAAATGCTAGCTAGCTACAAAGCTACATTGCCTTGGTTGCGGCTGACCTGTATGCTAGCCAGAGCCATGTATTTGTATGCATTTTTATTTTTAATACAGTCGGGCAGCTAGCTCTAATTGCAATGTTGGATAGATAGATACATCGGTTCCATTTATGAAAATATTGACAATTATCTCACCGTATTTTAACTTATCCAATCTTCAGCCACCGGCACTTTGAAGCATGCATTTATGCAAAAACAGTAGCTAGCTAATGTTAGCTAGCCCATCTGTAGCCCCCAACTACCTACCTAGCTAGCTAGCTAGCCGAGTTCCAGTTATTGTCTTGTTCTTTTTCAGCTATCTTGTTGGAACATCAAATAACCACAAGCTGCCTGCCAGTGGGTGCAGTAGCTAGATAGTCCTGCCTTGCATTGGCTATCTTGCCAGCACGCATGGATGAATGCAGATGTCAGTCATGTAACGTTAGCAAGCAAAGACGACCCTCGTTTTCAATTAATAAGATGGCTTGGTAGCTACATCAGTACACAAATATTTCCTTACCCGATGATGGTTCCATAGCCTGCGCTGGGGCTACCAGAAAGTGTACTGGCTAGCTACTTGTCCGGCATAAGCCTACATTTTGACCTGCATAAGCCTAGCCTACATTTTGAGAGTTGTTTTCCTCTGCTAGCCATCTAACTACCAGGTTTGGACTAGTTGCCTGCTTGCTTGCTAGTAGGTAATGTTATACACAGAAAATAACAACCTCTGTTTAAAAGATTATATTATATCCTTCATCTATGAGTGAGTGAACAGGACCGGCTATCATATCATTGTTGTATGGATTTGGCACACTAACCTCACATAGCCAGCTAATGGAGGTAGTGGCTCATTACCATCATCTGCTGGATAATTTCGAGATTACACTATGAAATAGCACTGTGACATTGACAATGGTTTATGTTATTGTAAAGTCGATTTTACCGGCTCCTTACCTATGCGATTACTGACTTGTAAATACAGAGCGCAACCATACAGAGAACCATGCACAGAACGCAACTTTCTCCACCCGGAATACAATTTGCTTGCTATTGTGATCTCTCATATAGGATCTCTATGGTCACAACCATCTCCTCAATTACTTTTTAATTAATTGTCATGCCAAACAAAAACGGCATTCCAAGTGCACACGGTTGTCCAACCACACAATTTGAATGATCATTCTATTTCTATGAATCCAACATTTACTCAAGGGTTTTGATCTATAATTGCAAGTAAAAATTGAATTATCTTCCCATATCATGCAGCCCTAGGTCAATGCATTATTCTAGGACAACACATTGTTATCTTTGTGCTAGAGATTGCAAATTTAATAGAGCGAGAGAGAATGTGTGTGCGACCAGTGTTAGGCAGAGCCCTGGTAGTGACCTAGAGTAGTTCTCACCGGAGCAGTGTGTGCGCGGGCCAGGGGTGGTGGGGGCATCTCTTCAGGCTCAGGCTGGTTCCAGTGGCGGGCATTGTACACAGCTTTAGCAGGGGACTGCACACAACACACACATAACCACAGATCCAGGGTAAGTACAGTAGCAGTTGACATGATTCAACATGAATGCCTAAAACCAAGACAAACCTTGACCTAGTGGGTAATAGATACATCTGACATGTTGTTATTATTTGCATCATAATCACCATATGAGCGAATGGTGGAGACTGCAGAACGCAACTTCATAACGTCTACACCTATGACGCTACATGGCTCATTTCATCAACAAGTTGCTTTCAGAATCAGACTCCAGGACAAAATGGTCACCAGAAACCAGAAACCAGCCTACTTCCAAAATAAATATATAAATCCCCTACATTTCCACTCTGGGACATTTATGTTCATCCTATCTTATCATTCTAGCCTACCCAGGTCTCAGGAAGCTCACTTGGTCATTATCAAACAATTAGATCTGATATAGAGTGGTGAGTTGGTGATGGAAGGAATGCAAATCAGACATACTTTATGTCTAAATTATATTCATTTCCTAGGTAGACCTTTCAGTATGTTCAAACATTGCATTCTAATGGAAAACCATCAATTTTTGAAGTAGTCTAGTGCATGTCCTGAATACAAATTGCCTATATTGAGAGGATGTTGTGATTATATAACCCATAAAACATGCTTCCATCCAACAATGTGAGTTCATTACATGTCAGATAAACTCATGACAGGCCTGATGGAAACAGCAGATTTGTCTGTGAACTTTCCAAATGTCGACAAAACAAAATACACTACACATGGGTGGATAATATTTGGTCTGTTAAATAGATCATGCGAGAAATGGCATTGGAAACACTTTTTGCGCATTTGTTGGTAGAATAACCTAGGGTCGGGACAATACCAGTATCGCGATACTCATTAGTATCGTGGCAAGGAAACAAAACATGAAGCAGATTTAACTTATTTTGGAAAACAGCCCTAATGTTGGAAACAAACATCATTATGTTGTCATCCAGATTCACATTTATATATTTTCCAAGATATAGCACAATATTTTACATACAGTCGTGGTCAAAAGTTTTGAGAATGACACAAGTATTGGTCTTCACAAAGTTTGCTGCTTCAGTGTTATGAGATATTTGTCAGATGTTAGTATGGTATACTGAAGTATAATTACAAGCATTCCATAAGTGTCAAAGGCTTTGATTGACAATAACATTAAGTTAATGCAAAGAGTCAATATTTGCAGTGTTGACCCTTCTTTTTCAAGACCTCTGCAATCTGCCCTGGCATGCTGTGAATTAACTTCTGACTGATGGCAGCCCATCCTGACTGATGGCAGCCCATCCTGACTGATGGCAGCCCATCCTGACTGATGGCAGCCCATCCTGACTGATGGCAGCCCATCCTGACTGATGGCAGCCCATCCTGACTGATGGCAGCCCATTCTTGCATAATCAATGCTTGGCATTTGTCCGAATTTTGGGGTTTTTGTTTGTCCACCTGCCTCTTGAGGATTGACCACAAGTTCTCAATGGGATTAAGGTCTGGGGAGTTTCCTGGCCATGGACCCAAGATTTTGATGTTTTGTTCCCTGAGCCACTTCGTTATCACTTTTGCCTTATGGCAAGGTGCTCCATCATGCTGGAAAAGGCACAGGTCGTCACCAAACTGTTCTTGGATGGTTGGGAGAAGTTGCTCTCTGAGGATGTGTTGGTACCATGCTTTATTCATGGCTGTGTTCTTAGGCAAAATTATGAGTGAGCCCACTCCCTTGGCTGAGAAGCAACCCCACACATGAATGGTCTCAGGATGCTTTACTGTTGGCATGACACAGGACTGATGGTAGTGCTCACCTTGTCTTCTCTGGACAAGCTTTCTTCCGGATGCCCCAAACAATCGGAAAGGGGATTCATCAGAGAAAATGACTTTACCCCAGTCCTCAGCAGTCCAATCCCTGTACCTTTTGCAGAATATCAGTCTGTCCCTGATGTTTTTCCTGGAGAGAAGTGGCTTCCTCGCTGCCCTTCTTGACACCAGGCCATCCTCCAAAAGTATTCGCCTCACTGTGCGTGCAGATGCACTCACACCTGCCTGCTGCCATTCCTGAGCAAGCTCTGCACTGGTGGTGCCCCGATCCTGCAGCTGAATAAACTTTAGGAGACGGTCCTGGCGCTTGCTGGACTTTCTTGGGCACCCTGAAGCCTTCTTCACAACAATTGAACCCCTCTCCTTGTAGTTCTTGATGATCCGATAAATGGTTGATTTAGGTGCAATCTTACTAGCAGCAATATCCTTGCCTGTGAAGCCCTTTTTGGGCAAAGCAATGATGACGGCATGTGTTTCCTTGCAGGTAACCATGGTTAACAGAGGAAGAACAATGGTTTCAAGCACCACCCTCCTTTTAAAGCTTCCAGTCTGTTATTCTAAGTCAATCAGCATGACAGAGTGATCTCCAGCCTTGTCCTCGTCAACACTCTCACCTGTGTTAACGAGAGAATCACTGACATGTCAGCTGGTCCTTTTGTGGCAGGGCTGAAATGCAGTGGAAATGTTTTTTTGGGGATTAAGTTCATTTTCATGGCAAAGAGGGACTTGGCAATTAATTGCAATTCATCTGATCACTCTTCATAACATTTTGGAGTATATGCAAATTGCCATCATAAAAACTGAGGCAGCAGACTTTGTGAAAATTAATATTTATGTCACTCTCAAAACCTTTGACCACGACTATACAGCAGGTTTTTATAGGACCAAAGAGTTTGGTCTGCTTTGTGTTTCCATGGGAAAACATTTGTGAGCTGTTGGCTAGAGCGCACGTGCCAAGACCAGTGGACACATTTACTGTGTTTTTGTGTGTGTGTGCCAAAACCATTGACAAAGTTATAAATGGAATGGAAAGACGTAGAACTAGTTTTTTTAGCTATACAGTCTGAAAGGCCAGGATTCAAACAAACGCAGATAAACGACCTGTGTGAACTGCGATTGACTTTTAAAGGAGATTTACGCTTGAGATTATATCCGTAGCATTTACAGTGAATATCAGAGAAACAGCCTTTAAAAGTCTATCTTTAAAGGTCATTCATCTGAGTTGGTTTGAATCTCGGCCCAAGAGTAAAGGGTCTTCAAATCAAAGTTTATTCGTCACATGCACAGGATACAGCAGGTGTAAACAGTACAGTGAAAAGCTTACTTGAAGCTCTTCCTTAACAGTGCCGAATAAACTGTTGCTGAAAAACTCAGCTACTGTGGGGGGTGCAGTTAATACTTATTATTGGAATTAAAACAATCTAGTGGTCCTCTTTCAAGGCTTAATCACTAGTTTTGATGGTCAGTCTAGACATGTCTGCTATGACAATGGTGTGACTTTCCACCTGATTTGGTCAAACGCTTGAGTTGAGGCGAGAGGTTCTTGTGATGTTTCTGAAGATTCATGTAATTACGCCTATCCCATTCATCTGCCGTGCAAAAAAAGCAGTGTTCTATATCCAGTGAGGCAAAGCAGATGGAATCAATAACAATATCACAGCACAATAATCTCTTTATTGGGAATGTTCTCCCACTGCTCACCCATGAGTGCTTGAAACATTATTGAACATGTACTCCCCTTAGTGACAGCAATTCTACCTCATCTCTGGGTTACCTCATGAGCACCGCTACAAATACACTGTGAATCAAATGACTCTTTCCATACACACTCTCCATCTCACACATTCAATCAGACTTCATAGGTCACTCACCTTTTTGGGCCCACTGAAGATCTTCCTGCCAATCTCCTTGGATTTGTCCCCCTGTTTTCCCGAGCGACCCTTCTGCCCTTCAGACCCACCAGGGCTCGAGTCATCACAAAACTCCAGAATATCTGAGGGGGAAAACAACACAATAATAAGGTGGAATCAACATGATGGAAATACATGTACGATAGAAATCCTGTTACATGGTGTCGGCAAACTGACTGTAAGCAACGCATGATCCTATTTTGACTGTCTATGATATAGCCTATCAAATCACCTGTGTTTTTCATACAGCTAACCTCTTTATTGCCTTTAGACAAACATCAACAGTATATGTCACCTGTATTACTGATGCTCTGGCTGTCCTGAGAGTCGCTGGGCTGGGGGCTGTCCACAATAGCTGCCATGGCGGCTGCTGCCGCTGCTCCAGCCTTCTTGGCCTTCCTCTTCTCTTTGGCCTGGGAGCCCTCCTCTTCGTCACTGTCGCTCTCACCGAGGTCGTCAAAGCCAAAGTACTTGATCTTGTAGCTGCTGCTGCCACCGGCCGCGGGGTCCGCTCCCTCCTCCCCCTCCTGGTCACCTTTGTCCTCGAAGCCAAAGAACTCCAGCTTGGTCTCCTTCTTGGTCTTACTCTGGGTGGTTCGGAACCTGACGGTTACAAGAGGAGAATTGAATAATTTCAATCAGCAGCTGACATTAAAAACAAGAAAACATAGTCAAAGGTTTAACAGAAGAGGTAATTAAATCGAGAAAACAGATTCAACTAGGTTTAGGTGTAGTGGAAACATTTGGTAAACCTCATATGGGCGTGAGCGTGGGTATAAGAAGGGACATTATGCGCTTACCCGTAAATATACAGTTGTACAATATTAAGCAGTATCAAGCATGTTATGAAGGACCAGTGGGAGGCAACTCAGTCTGAGTGTATTGTCTGGGCCACAGCCAGTGGAATCGTTTACCTGGTGGGTTTGGCTGGAGGTATGTCTGCCTTCTTCCTCAGCCGTCCCGCCTCCCCCAGGTCAGCAGGGGGTGCGCTGGTGATGAGCTCGTCCATGCTGCGCTCTATGGAGTCCTGGATGGTGACGTTACACACCGACAGGCAGGATGGGTGCAGCACCGTGTAGTCCCGTACCCGACCCCTGCCAGTAGGTTTAGCCGCCGGTTTGGCCGCCGTCGTGATAGCATTAGTGCCACCGCTACCGCTGGCAGTGGACACGCTTTTGGGCATCAGTGCAGCCGGACCACTGGCGGCTACGGGCAGTTTGCTGTCGCTAGCAGCAGAAGCATCTGGAACATCAGGGGCCTTGTTTGGCTTGGGCCGGACGTATTTCCTAGTGTTGGAGGGCCTGAGGAGGAACGGGGAGGGGGGGATGTTGTCAACAACAGGCTCGGCCGGAGCCTCCTGGTCAGCACTTTTCATCCCACCTGAGGAGAGCCCATCCTGGGAAAATGAGGACTGCGAGTCCCCGCTAAGCCCTGGTGCCTCAGCGGAGTCTTTTTCCTGGAGAGGTTCCATGCTAGGGGAGGAGGTAGAAGACCTCTGGGTCCCTATTAAGCTCCATTCCACATAGGGGTCCTTGGGAACAGTCTTTGAAACAGAGGACTGCGCAATAGGATTCTGGTTACTCTCTGATGTATTTTTGTACAAGGACTGGCTACTCTTTTCTGCACCCTCATTGGACAATGTTTGCTTGCCTGTGAGCACAAAGGAGATAAAAGAGCAAGTTAACAAAAAATAAGTATTATAAGTATAAGACAAGCGTTACATTGTAAATTACTGTTTCAGATTTTTGTTCAACCCGGTTGTTTGGTTTGTATCATTTCTAATCAGTAATCTAATTCTAAATGAAAGGGACACAGGCCTATTGAGACGATGGCATTGCAGTAAAGCCTGATTTATCTTTAGTGAACTGTCAGAGACAGATAGAGACGAGATAAGCTGACACAGAAGCTGCCAGCAGAGACTAAACAGCCCACAAGGGAGCCCATCACTTTATCTTCTCCAGAAATATCCACACACCACAGATATCATCACCATTATCACAAGGATAATGAGACGCAGTTTTCCTTCCATAATAAAAAAAATTCAATAAATAAAGTGAAATACAAGAGACAGGCATGGTGTTCTTTAGCTACTGTATACACACAATTATTCTACAAGCACTTGTGGAAACATTTTCCCACCATAAACCAGGTTTCCACCCAACCTTTTTATGCAAGTAGAGTACACGTCGGATAAAATAAAATAAAAATCACGACAGGCATGATGTAAACAGCACATTTTTCGTTAAACTGATCATTGCTAGCCATCCATGTTCAGGTCTTGCCATAGATTTTCAAGTAGATTTAAGTCAAAACTGTAACTTGGCCACTCAGGAACATTCACTGTCTTCTTGGTAAGCAACTCTTGTGTAGATTTGGCCTTGTTTTTTTAGGTAATTGTCCTGCTGAAAGGTGAATTAATCTCCCAGTGTCTGGTGGAAAGCAGACTGAACCAGGTTTTCCTCTAGGATTTTGCCTGTGCTTAGCTCCATTACGTTTATTTTTTATCCTGAAAAAATCCCCAGTCATTAACGATTACAAGCATACCCATAACATGATGCAGCTACCACTATTTTTGAAAATATTGAGAGTGGTACTCAGTAATGTGTTGTATTTGCCCCAAACATAACACTTTGTACTCAGGACAAAAAGTGAACTGCTTTGACACATTTTTTGCAGTATTATTTTAGTGCCTTGTTGCAAACAGGATGCGTGTTTTTTGATATTTTTATTCTGTACAGGCTTCATTCTTTTCACTGTCAATTTGGTTAGTATTGTGGAGCAACTACAATGCTGTTAATTCATCCTGTTTTCTCCTATCACAGCAATTAAACTCTAACTGTTTAAAAGTCACCATTGGCCTCATGGTGAAATCCCTGAGCGGTTTCCATCCTCTCCAGCAACTGAGCTAGGAAATATACCTGTATCTTTGTAGTGACCGAGGGTATTGATACACCACCCAAAGTGTAATTAATAACTTCATCATGTTCAAAGGGATTTCAATGTCTGCTTTTTTAGTTTTACTCATCTACCAATAGGTGCCCTTCTGTGCGAGGAATTAGAAAACCTCCCTGGTCTTTGTGGTTTAATCTGTTTGAAATTCACTACTCGACTGAGGGACCTTACCGATAATTGTAGGTGTGGGGTACAGAGATGAGGTAGTCATTCAAAAAATCATGTTAAACACTATTATTGCACACAGTGAGTCCATGCAATTTATGAGACTTCTTAAGCAAATGTTTACTCCTGAACTTATTTAGGCTTGCCATAACAAAGGGGTTGAATACTTATTGACTCAAGACATTTCAGCTTTTAAGTTTTAATGAATTTGTTTTTAAAAAATGGTAAACATAATTCCAATGACATTATGTAGTCCAGCGACAAAAAAAATCTACATTTAATCCATTTTAAATTCAGGCTGTAACAACAAAATTTGGAAAAAGTCAGAATACTTTCTGAAGGCACCACCGTATGTTGTGTGGTCCTCCCACTACGACTCGGGAAAGCATGCAGTTTATTAGGCTACAGATGAAGTTATGATGGTGAACGTGCACGGTGATGAGCTTGATTCTCCTTTTCAAAAAATATCAAGGGACTACAGTCATGTGAAAAAGTAAGTACACCCCCTGGAAAGTTTTCTAAATTATTATTACAGGTTAAAGAAGGATTTTTAAGCCTTGAGACATGGATTGTGCATGTGTGCCATTCAGAGGGTGAATGGGTAAGACAAAATATTTAAGTGCCTTTGAACAGGGCATGGTAGTAGGTGCCAGGCACACTGGTTTGTGTCAAGAACTGCAACGCTGCAGGGTTTTTCATGCTCAACAGTTTCCCATGGGTATCATGAATGGTCCACCATCCAAAGCACATCCAGACAACTTGACACAACTGTGGGAAGCATTGGATTCAACATTGGCCAGCATCCCTGTGGAACGCTTGACACCTTGTAGAGTCCATGCCCCGACAAATTGAGGCGGTTCTGAGGTGGGGGCAACTGAATATTAGGTAGGTGTTTCTAATGTTTGGTATAGTCAGTGTATATTGGGACTATATTAATTCTAGCTACTTTTGAAGCACATGTTGTGCCCTACAAACTAATATGTAACACTGTAAAGACGTTTATTATAAAATCTAAAATGTTGATACGAATACCTGTCATTGAAATTACAGACATTTGTGGAAAATTCGGTGTCTACATTGTGGGGGAAAAATGCACTATTTTCCTATTGCGATGGATTACATTGAAATTGTACAGTCTCTTTAAAAACTTCAGGTTTGTGATGACGACATGCAAGAAATCTGTCATTCATTCATTGCTATGATCATTGATCTCCTGAAGAAGCAATCCCTTTTCTTTTCTTTCTGAGCCCCCAAATGTTTGGATATACTGGTAAAGTTTCCAGGTTCCCAGCTAGCTAGCCAATGAGGTAACATGACTGATCCAAGTGTAAACAAATGGTTAACGACACACGAGTAGTTTTAGAATGGCCCACGACATGGTTTTAAGATTTATTTACTCGGTTGGGCTAAAAGCAAGCTGTTTTTCCTGTAGTAATGGTGCAAACATGACGCTATCGAATCTGCACTCACTTTTTTCTCTAGGGCAGTCAGAAACAACAGTATAGCGAAGCCTTATCAGTACAACAATTATTATCTGGCAGCAAAATATTTAGTCGCATATGCAACCAAATTGGTCGCACTTTAGAGCCCTGTATATAACGCAACATTTTTTGTAACAAAACCCTCAGTAAAGTTGGAAAAGCGATGGAAACCCTTTTAACGTTTTCGGTACATGGGGAATTAACCAAAAAAGTAATTTATGTGCACTGCAACATCAAGCACAGCCTTTTATCCACAACAAGTCAATTTGATGGAAACATCTCTGACGGGAAAAGCCGCATATTGTTTTTAGGCAGATTTTAGAATATTCGCATGAAACTCTGTTGCCAATTGGATGGAAATCTAGCTAGTGACAAAGTGCACACAACAGCTCTACTGAAGGTGGGTGGAACTTCTAAACACTACCACTTGAAGACAGACACATTCTAGACTTCCGAGAGCATCCTCTCTAACAAAACATGTCCAACATGTTGATGGCCAACAATCAGACAGTTTTCTGCCATCCAGTTCTTACCTGTAGATGTGCTGTTGGAGTTCCTACTGGTATCCACTGGGACCGTGGCTGTGACTGTGACTGTAGCAGAAGGTAGTTTACTGGCCTCACCCTCAGCCAGTTCAGACTGGGGCACACTGTGGGAGGTGACAGGCTTGGACTCATCATCGCTGTCAAAACCAAAAGGATCTTCTGAGCTGTCATCATCCTCAATCCGGGGCCTCTTGGATAACTCGACTACTTCAGGCTTCAGAGTGGGCCGCTTAGAGCCTAGTTGGGCCTTGTAAGTGGTCTCTCCCCATTTGGTGCTCAGTGTGGCCTTGTTGGAGAAGACCTCTTCAAATTTGGAGTTTGCCTCCCCTCCCTTACGGCTGTAGGTTTTACCAAATCTGGATGTCATGGTGATGTATGTTACATATTTTCTGTAACACCAGAAAAGAATATTAGTTTATCAATATTTATCTCACAAAAATCTGGTAGAGGGTGTGTAAGCCTACCGGCAAAATAGGTTGAATGTTTTTCCCTGACTATTTGTGATCACTGACAATAAGCCTACCTACAGATTATAGCTAATATACTGGAGGGGGTCATTGCAATAATGGATCCCCTAAAATCACGTTAGCTATCCAGCTCTAACTAGCTACATACAGTGCATTCGGAAAGTATTCAGACCCCTTGACTTTTTCCACATTTTGTTACGTTACAGCCTTATTCTAAAAAGGATCTGTTTTTTTCCCCTCAATCTACACACAATAGCCCATAACGACAAAGCAAAAACAGGTTTTTAGAAATGTTAGCCAATGTATCACATTTACTCAGTACTTTGTTGAAGCACCTTTGGCAGCGATTACAGCCTCAAGTCTTCTTGGCACGCCTGTATTTGGGTAGTTTCTCCCATTCTTCTCTGCAGATCCTCACAAGCTGTCAGGTTGGATGGGGAGCGTCGCTGCACAGCTATTTTTAGGTCTCTCCAGAGATGTTCGATCGGGTTCAAGTCCGGGCTTTGGCTGGGCCAATCAAGGACATTCGGACTTGTCCCAAAACCACTCCTGCGTTGTCTTGGCTGTGTGCTTATGGTCGTTGTCCTGTTGGAAGGTGAACCTTCGCCCCAGTCTGAGGTCCTGAGCGCTCTGGAGCAGGTTTTCATCAAAGATCTCTCTGTACTTTGCTCCGTTCATCTTTCCCTCAATCCTGACTAGTCTCCTAGTCCCTGCCGCTGAAAAACTCCCCACAGCATGATGCTGCCACCACCATGCTTCACGGTAGGGATGGTGCCAGGTTTCCTCCAGACGTGACGCTTGGCATTGAGGCCAAAGAGTTCAATCTTGGTTTCATCAGACTAGAGAATGTTGTTTCTCATGGTGGGGAACAAGTGACGCAGCGGTCTAAGGCACTGCATTGCAGTGCTAGAGGCATCACCACAGACCCGGGTTTGATCCCGGGCTGTATAACAACCGGCCGTGATCGGGAGTCCCATAGGGCGGCGCACAATTGGCCCAACGTCGCCTGGGGTAAGCCGTCACTGTAAATAAGATTTTGTTTTTAACTGACTTGCTTAGTTAAATAAAGGTTCAATTAATTAATAAAAAATGGTCTGAGAGTCCTTTAGGTGCCTTTTGGCAAACTCCAAGCGGGCAGTCATGTTCCTTTTACTGAGCAGTGGCTTCCGTCTGGCCACTCCACTGATTGGTGGAACTCTGGAGCTCTGTCAGAGTGACCATCGGGTTCTTGGTCAGCTTCCCTGACCAAGGCCCTTCTCCACCGTTTGGCCGAGCGGCCAGCTCTAGGAAGAGTCTTGACACAATCCTGTCTCTAAGCTCTATGGACAATTCCTTCGACCTGATGGCTAGGTTTTTGCTCTGACATGCACTGTCAATTGTGGGACATTATATAGACAATTGTGTGCCTTTCCAAATCATGTCCAATCAATTGAATTTACCACAGGTGTACTCCAATGAAGTTGTAGGAACATCAAGGATGATCGATGGAAAGGGTTTTTTATTTTTTATAAATTTGCAAACATTTCTAAAAACCTGTTTTTGCTTTGTCATTATGGGGTATTGTGTGTAGATTGATGAGGGAAAAAAACAATTTCATCCATTTTAGAATAAGGCTGTAACATAACAAAATGTGGAAATAGTCAAGGGGTCTGAATACTTTCGAATGCACTGTACTTAGCTAGCCAGCAGATCATACCCACTTGCTTATAACTGCACTAGGGTCGGACCACCTTCTTGTGTAGATTAAGACACAGCAGAGCCGATGCGAGATATGGCTCGGAAAATTAGAAATGGGATGAAAAATGCTAAATAGCCTACCTACAACTGGTAAAAAGCTGTCACGATGTGCACGCGTGCTGATCTGTCTCCTCTCGCACTGCTCTCTCAACACACACCCCTCTGCCGCCGCTTTTTTCCATAAAACATAACGTGCTAGAACTGATGAGCCTCAAGAAATAATGGCGACAAAGCACTGGAAAATGACTTAGGCGCACTAGAGCGCATTAGATACATTCGTTCGGAGGTGGTTTAAACTGCATTCTAATGTCAACTTTGCTTATGGAAAACTGTGTGAAGCGAAAGGTTTTACGCATGCTCAGTTGTTGGGTCTCTAGCGCTGCGCGAGTGGACATTTGAAATGGAAGTTATGGAACATTCCTCGCTTGCTTCTCGTATGGGTGAAAAGTCCACGATGAAACTGACATTAAAATGTGGAGAATGGCCTCCCGAGTGGCGTAGCGGTCAAAGGCACTGCAGTGCTTGAGGCGTCACTACAGATCCGGATTAGATCCCGGGCTGTGTCGCAACCGGCCGCGACCGGAGGCGACGCACAATTGGCCCAGCGTCGTCCGGGTTAGGGGAGGGTTTGGCCGGCCGGGATGTCCTTGTCCCATTGCGCTCTAGCGACTCCTTTGGCTGGCCGGGTGCATGCACGCTGACACAGTCGCCAGTTGTACGGTGTTTCCTCCGACACATTGGTGCGGCTGTCTTCCGGGTTAAGCGAGCAGTGTGTCAAGAAGCAGTGTGGCTTGCCAGGGTCATAGTTCAGAGGACGCATGGCTCTCGACCTTCGCATCTCCCGAGTCCGTACGGGAGTTGCAGTGATGGGACAAGACTAACTACCAATTGGATATCACAAAATTGGGGAGAAAAAAAGGTAAAACAAATTTTTAAAAAACAAAAAAAAATTGCCAAATGCTACATTTGCATCTGTTGGCCATCAAGTAGCCTATTCATTTATATGCCATTGTAGGCTACTGTAGCCTACCATTTGATACAATAAATATGTTGAAATGACGAGATCACTGGAGTCATTTCAAATAAATGTGTGCCACTTGTGTAGCCTACCTGGAGCTGGCAAACTGAATAAATAAATAGCCTATAACTTCAGTTTATTGTTGTTGTAGCCTTGTGTTATTATGCAATTATGAATGGCCATGTTAAGTTAATTAAATTGGAAGTTATCAATTGTGATCCTGGTCACAGCTCTATCGCAATTGCAGATCAGCTATTGTTGGAATGCATTAGATTGATGGTAACAGTCATTCAGATAAGGCTACAGGTTTTAAAAAATCAACACGAGCTGTTGTTTACAAGCATATTCAGTTCATTTCCATATTATTAATATTTGATTCAGTCACTGAAATTACGACCCCATTCTCAGTAGCCTATTCCAGCAGGCTATTAGACAACACAAGCACTTCTTACCTCGAAATCGCCATTCATGTTAAATAAAATAGTCTGTCAATTTGAACTAAGCAAACTACTTACCTACATTTTGCCAAGGCTACTGTATCTGAAAGAAGATGTAGACCTATCAGGGGCTAGGTTACCTGCATCTAGCTAAGCAAACCATGTCAAAGTTGAATTACAATCCTAAACCCACATTTGTGTCAGTAGCCTATGCCTATTGAAATGACAAGTCAATCTCGCAAATAGGACATTTACAACAATTTGTACTTTGTAGTCTTAACATCTGGCACATAACGGCACAATTGCTAGAACACTGCAGGCGGGAGGCGGGGGCGACACTGTGTGCTAGCTAGCTAACTAGCATACGGTGTCCCTAACTAGCAAGCTAGCTAGTTAGCTGGTTAGCTTACACACGGTTTCGCCACAGCCTCCCGCCTGCTGTGCTAGCGGGATGCGGGGTCGACCGGTAGACAGTGTCCTTCACCGCCGCCTGTCCAGCACGATTTTTTCCGTAGTTCTGTTACCGACGGTCAGGGCAGGTTTTCGGCAAGCGGGAGAAAAGGACACTCTCTGCCGGTGTTGATCCCACTAGCTAACAAGGATGACTCCGGGAGACGGGGGCAGAAAAAACTCACATTCAAAAGTGTCACAAGCATGAGGATGTCATGCTCGAGGGGATGGGGGTTCATGCAGGAACAAATGAGTGCGCCCCGAATTGCACACTATTGGCTTTTTGGGATATACTTTTTAGCTGGGACCTGGCAACCCTGCTCTGCCGTGCCTTAATCTACACACTTAAGCTTCATGTCCACCAGATGCGTCAAACTCTTTGCGTTCCGGTGGAAGTGTCAATGGAGCAGTCCGCAAAGCTACGTTTGAGTGCGTTCTGTGTACTGCATGCATTCAATATTTTCAACTCGTGCGTTGCATTACTGTGCGGTGGTACAAACGGAAGTTCATAAAAGTTCCATGGCGGGGGTGGCACCATACAGAGACCAAATGATGATGACTATTGTGTGGTTAGTGACGAGAATATACATATACTGGCTGAACGACTGGAAATGTGTCTCCAGTAAGAATGACACTGGGACAATTCAACATTACTACACTTGGGTAGTTCACCCTGTTGGCTAGTTTTCATGAAACCAGCAAACAGAATGGCGTGTAAAATTAATATGCACAGAACTGTTCTGTGCGTAACTTAGCATGCCATCATGCAGGGCAAGCTAGTGATTTGAAAAGCAGTACTCTATATGGGAACAACCAGTTCAATGTATTGATGTTGCTAGAGATGAGTGACAGAAGAATAGAAACAAACTAGATTAATTGTTGTAATGCGCCCTTCTGCGCGCCAGTCCGTTGGTAGCTCTGCCAGCCTATGAAACCAGTAGGTCAATTGGAGAATAACTTTAATCTGTTCTAATTATTAGCTATGGTCGAAAAGTATCTTCTACATGCTGCAAACCTTTCTGCAGCAGCCTTGCAAAGCACATGTGCATCAAGTACGGAAAATGCGGACTAGACATCCAGCAAACACAACATAAGGCAGAATGCATGTGCATCTGTGGACATTATGGCATTAGTCTGTTCGTCCCTAATGTAGCTGTAATCAAGCGGGTCGGATCTGCTGGCTACATACTTAACGGTAACGGTGTTAGTTAGCTAACGTTAGCCTTTCAACTCTATCTCTTTAGCTAGTTCTACATTT